AATTCAGACAATACAGTAAGTGTAAAGTTGGTTCCTCCATTAATATCATAACTCCTGGGCGGTACTTGGTAAAGTCCCTTTCTGAATTCCAAATTCCATAGCCTCCAGTTATCATGACTATTATTAGTGGGAATTATATGACTTGTTGCCCAAATTAACTTCTCCAAGCTTTGCCTATGGATAGAGATGGGGTATTTGTATATGAGTACAAATATCCTGGTCCCAGGTGGCCGGGATCCCCAGCCCCGCCTCCCTGAACCAACCCATCCACTTATGGGTTGTCGCACATCGCACACAGCCAGAGTCCTGCTCATTGCACCAATGTTGGACAAAGCCTGGTTGGCTCTGCTCCGCTTTCCTGCTTTTCTGGCCACTCCAGCCAGGGGGCGGGATGACAAGTCTCCCTGCTCAGCTGCTGAGTAACCAGAAGAGCAGGAAGGTGGAGCAGCACCAGCCAGGCTTCGTTCAGCATTGTTGCGACAAACAGGATGCCGACTATGTGTGCTGAGCAGCAACCCGTAAGTAGAGAAGTTGGTTCGGAGAGGCGGGACTGGAGACCTGGCCAATTGGATCCGGGATATTTGTATACAAATGGCTGGAGATCCATTTAGCTCAACACCCTGTTTCTAGCCAAGACTCACCAGGTGCTACCAGGAAAGCTACACGTAGGGGGCATCAGTACCATTATCCTGAGTATGGAAAGGTTCATCTTGCACCCACTGGCCATGTAGCTGTTGAAGGCAAGGAGCCTCTCAGGAAAAAAAGAGTAACAACTCCAATTTAGCACCACAAGCATGCATGAATATGCAGTGATGGAAGGTCAGACTCTGAAGAGCGCAGCACTCAATGTTCTCTTCCTGATTGGGCAAACCAGTGCATTTTGTTTTCTCCTGGGCTCCAGTTTTTTAAAAGGAGTGTTCCATTCCATTTCAATTTGAGAAGTCCAAGCTATTGGGGGGGGACCCAAATAGAGTCTGAGTCAAGTTATCTGTGTGACTGAAGCCTGACTTTACATCCGGTGAGTCCTATGACTTGAATCCCCATCCCTGACAATCACCCCATCTCAGAAAAGTCCCCAATCCCCAGTCACTCAAACTACCGACAGCATCGGAGACTGTAAATAAAACTCCAACACATTCTTCCACTGTGGCTATGTGATGTGCTGAACATAATTTCTGCTATCTGCTTATGAGATTTCAGGAGAACCAGGAAATCTTAAGGTACATTCCCAATACCTTGCTTGTGTGTTAATTAAAATCTGTAAAACATACACACATACACTTGGGAATAAAGGTTTCCAACTGCAATATCTTAAGATTGTGCTGATCAGGTGAAGCGTTAGAAAAAAAATTTGTCCTCCTTCAGTGGGGATAGGCGGAGAGGTTCAGACCGGGCTATCCATTTGTTATGTAATTCCTCCCTTCGTAGCTGTATGCTTTTTGGCGGAGTGTGCCGTTCCTGAGTTTTGTAACATGAATAAGACTTGCCATGCCTGGAAACCTTATTCGATAAATGCGTAAGCCATCTGGATAGAGCAGGGGGTCGGCAAGCATGCAGCAGGGGAGCTATTTCAGGAAGACAGGCATGCACATCCCACCCAGCTCATGTGCAGTGATGCCCGCCAGAGTGCCTCCCTCTTTCTACTTCCTCCAAATGTGGAGGAGGTAGTCAAACTCTTCTCGGACTATCCTCTTTCAGGTGCTTCCCCATGATTCCACGCCCCCCCCAAAAAAAAATTATCTGGGAGTTCAGTTCCTTAGTAACTTCAGCAAAGGAAGAGCTCTCTTCTCTGGCAATTAGCGGCTCTTGCCGCCGCTTTTAACATGCAGGCAGGTTTAAAAAAAACATTTGCAAGCATCCACCTGTCCCCTGCTGTCGAAGTGGAGTCCCACAGCTGCTCTTGATGTGAACTTGGCCTGCCGGACAGCTTTAGGAAAAGCTGGTGATTCAGAGCGAGGGAGATGCGGTGATTCTATTTTCAACGCGATGGTAAGAAGCGTGGAGACAGGAAACAGGAGGTGCTTGTACCTCCCTTCTGAATCCCCATTTTATCTGAAGCGGCTCTAAATAGCTACTGCTGTAAACAATGACATGGATGTTTGCTGGGGCTGAAGAAATTTTGATACTCTTCCCTCCCAACCCATGTTTTGGACGCGAGTTCTCAGAAGCCCCAGCCAGCATGGCCTACGGTGTGGGAGTGGCAGTTCAATATATTTCCACAGGCCTGATCTGTCTGGCAGCTATACAAAGGCATACATTTCTTTGATTTTTCAAAAAGGAAAGGGGTAGGTGGATGCCTTTTACTCCTGCAGGGATATTAAGACTGCCATTGAAATGTGCTTTTCTTCAAGATCTGAAATTGGGCCCTTAGAATAGAACTTTTCCCTGGGCAAACGAACACCTTTGAACCAGCAAGTGGTGCTTTGCTTCCACACCCATTTGTCCTTCAGCTAGAAGATCTGGGCCTTTTTCTGTTAGCACAAGAGGTGGATGGTAGATTTGGATGGATGCAGATGTTAAGGATTCAATCCAGCTGAATCAGCAATGCTCAGGGATGTTATGCATTATTGCCTCCCCTTCCACGGAGGATGAGGCCATTAATGGCTAATAATCATCATGGATATAGGATGTCTTCAGTACCAGAGGGAGTAGGCCTCTTCATGCCTATTTCTGAGGACCATGAGCAGAGAGGGTGCTGCTGTTTCACAGCTTCTGCTGTAAGCAACTGATTGGCTCCCCCATAAACATAACGGTGGACTTGATCGTCCCTTGATCTGATCCCAAAGGAGGTTCTTGTTATGCTCTTAGTTCATGTCCCGTTCCACCATTCTGCTCTTGTGGAAGGGTGGTGGGCTGGCTGGTTGAAATGGTTAGCTGTGACCTCTCTTATGGGCTGCTTTCTACAGAGCAGCCTTTGCAAATGGGCTATGGGAAGATGACATAATGGGTATGTGGAAAATATTCTAATGGTAATTATGGAAGCACCTAAGGTGAGTATAGCAGCTGACCGCCATCTCTACCCATTTGAGCACATCGGCACTGCTTTTTTCCAGAAGTAACGGGTTTTATCTGAAGATCTCCGACCATTGTGCAAGACTCAACCCAACAAGCCCTCCCTAGCTTTAAGGGAAGGAGTGTGCATGTAAAATAAAAACTGCTTAATAGAAATACAGTAAAATAAGCCGTAAGCTGTGGTTGTGTAATTCTCTCTCTCCCCCCCCATCCTGTTTGCCACAAATATTGAGCAATATTATAACAAGCAGCAATTTACAGTATATGCTGAAGGAGATTAGTGGGCACAATGATGGACGGATTGCCTACCACCCAAAATCTCTCAATAGAAAATTACCCTCCAGCATTAAGACACTCTCCACATGGCCGCAGCTCGCTCAGTGCTTCTTCACTATACTCAGTAAGACAGAAGTGGATCCAGTGTGAAGTTGCCTATTCTTTAAGCCATTTGCATTTACTGTATTCTAGTCACTTTTGGATTGAAAGCATTTCTGCTCTTTTTGAGTTTCTCCTAGGATAGCCTGTCTCAGCCTAGAGCCTTCAGATGTAATTGGATGATACTTCCCACCCAAACCTGCCCTCTGCTTCCCCCACAACCCCACCCCAGTCATCCTCTTCTGCTGGAGGGTGACTTGTGATGGCACCCAGCCTCTCTTGCACAACTGAACTAGCCTAATTCTCTCAGGTTTAGAGAACAACACTGTCTCATCACCAGTGTAGAAATAAAGTCCCACTGCTGGTCCAGTAGGTGGAATAGGAAGGACCATCTTGTCATTCTTAAAGAGTGAAACATCAGGGGCTGGCCCATTCCCATTATCACCAGCAAGCAGGAATGATGGAGGTTGTTACCCAAAACATCTAGAGGGATCCAGAATTTCCATCTCTACCAGCCACAGGGAAGCAGAAGCTGGAAATCACTTTTTGGACTGCCACTCTAGCCAGTCTGTCTTGGTGGGAAGAGGACCCCCACTAAACGTTAATTGGGGCAGGCGTTGCAGCAGCACTTGGGGCCAGCAAAATCCCGTAGGCAATGGGGCGGAGGAGGCTGCTCACCTGTTTTCCCTTTGCTATGTCCTTCAGCGAAGTCTGCTATGCCACAAAGCAGTTTTAACCTGACTTGAGGTGCTGGTGTTTGTTTTGATATTAAAAGCTTTGCTGCACAATAGCAGCCATTGTATAGCAGACAAACGTAATTCAGCTCAGTATTGCATCCAGTTAAATGGTCAAAGCCTGGAGATACATTTTTTTAAGATTACAACTCCAAGAAAACCCCCACCTACCTGGCTGAAGGATTCTGGGAGTCATAGTGTCAAAAAGTAACTTTTCCAAGCTATAAAAGTATGGTTTTAAATCTCTTGTTCCTTAAAAAACAAAACTATATGAGGCACCTGTGGCTATGTAAGTTATGTGACTTTCCTATGCACCTGTCTTTACCTCCCCCCCCCCTTTTTTTAAATTTCCCTGATGTTGTCGTACTAAACCTTAAGGAAACCCCCCATCATGCTTCCTAATGGTGAAGATACTGGAAAGCAACTGATCCAAAGAGTGTGCATGGCTGCAGTTGCATCATGAATGGCATAATGTGGTGGATAGTGTTTGTAATATTTGCAGGCTCTTGGTTTTAAATTATGTTAACAAGGCAGGTTTCTACCCCTTAGACCATGAGGTTTTGACAGGTGCAACCAGCTACACCAAAAAACAACAACAACAAAAATTGAAAGTGTTTGTTTAGGTAAATTTTTTCAAATGTTGTGAGACTCACTAATGCTTGCCAGGGTCAGAGGTTTTGATATCTACCTCTCAGCCTTACATCTCTGGTCTCTGCTCTTTCTAATTGTGATTTTGAATAAGATCACAGTACCTAAATGAAGTGAAAAGAAGAAAATCTGCATAATTTTTTTGCTGGAATCCAAGGTTTGTTTTTAACCACACTGTTCCGATGAGTCAGCAACCTTTGTGAAATCTGATTCCGCCTTTTATGTTCACAGGTTTCTGAGCGACTGTTCACGTTTTGGCTTCAAAGAACCCAAATCTACAGACCTGAAGACGCAAAGGGTTCCTCCCAGTTGCAGTGGGCCTGGCGTGTTTCTAGGAAGAACTGGAGCTTTGTTTGTGCACCGTGACTTAGCGAGGAAATCTAAATATGACCCCTTCTATTTGCCTGGACCTTTTAATGAAGTACTAATTACTTTTTCCTGACTTCTCAGAGCAGCTGGGGTTCAGCCCCTCAGAACGGAATTATCATCCATTTAACTGATTGCATATTTTTTTAAATAAGGCTTTGTCCTTTTCTGTTTTAAAGGAACAAAACCCCCAATAGAATTTATCATCCTTACAGACTGTTAATGTAGGGTGGGATTTCTGACTATATTTTTGTTTGTTGGACTTTTTTCTCCCCACATTTCTCTGGAGTTTACTTGGACTTGTGTCTTCAAACACACGCATAAGGAGCACCCCGATGGCTCCGTAAATCAGTGGAACAACTGCCCTCATTCATGATGGGGCGAGAGCAAGAGCTAATCCAAGCCGTGAAAAATGGGGACGTACCTGGTGTTCAGAAGCTGGTGGCTAAAGTCAAGGCACCCAAAAGCAGTGAGTACTTCAATGCAATCATTTTCTGTGATTGGCCAGCACCTGATAGTGGGATGACAAGATGCTTTGTGGGGGCTGGGAAACTCTTTGAAGCTAATGGAACAAAAGGGATGGGGTTGGGCAGGGGATATGTGGTACTAAAGATTGGAACCCGCACGGCAGTCTAGAATAAAAAAGAGTGTTTTTTGTTTTGGTTCCATGAACAATGCATCTTAACACAACTCAAGGAATACAAAAGGTGCCCCCTGTAGGAGTGGGAAACATTTGTGCTATTTTGCTTGACTCTGTAGGAACAGGAAACATAAAATACAACCTTAGTATAAACCATTTTACACAAGGAGACCTGGGTTCAAATCACCACTTAGCCATGGAAATTCAGTGGGGTGCTAGTAGGGGTGCTAGTAGGGGATGGAAAACCCACTCCTTGAATATCTCATATGGCTCGAAAACCCAACAAGAGTCACAGTGTGTTGGAAGCTATCTGACAGATAGAGGGAGGCAATGCATTTGGTTTCTCCAAGTTAGACTTGGATAGGTCTTGGATAGGTGGTCCTATGGAGTAAGCACCAGAGACCGTGCCTGTCAGAAAAAAGATGGGAACAAAATGTTTCTGCTGGTGCCATTTCATATTGGTGGTCACTGCACGTCACTCCCTCTTTCTGCCTGCCACCCTGGAAGAGTGAAAAAGAAACTTCTCTGCTTTTCAGTCAGGAAATGTAGAATGCTGGAAATACGATGGCCCTGTGTTCCTTTCAATAGAAGACTGTTTGAAAAGATCCTCTGTTTGCAAGGCTGTCCAATCCAAATCTGGTTGAGAGATAACGACTCACAATAAGAAGGGGGTTCAAAGGCATTGACGTGGCCTGTAAATATCTTTAAGCACCTGGATAGAGGGCTGACGAGGTGCACAGGGAACCTGGCCATCATCATTTCCTATTAAAAGAGAGATGTATTGTGTTTCTGTGTAAACAACAGTCCTTGTGTCTGTTTTGGATTATAAACATATATATATAATTCATACCTCATTTTTCTTCTTCTGATGTATTTTCTCTTTAGTGGTCACTCTAGTTGGGAGCTTTGTCTTTCCTTCCCTGGTGCCTATGCCCAGAGCTGCTGGTTGGAGCTCTCTGCCTTGCTGCCGGGCCACTCTTCTCCATGAACCTTGGCAGGTAGCCCCGTCTAAAACTAGGTCATATTATTGCCACTCTTCTCCCTCTGTGTTGCTCTAGTGAATAGGGAGTGCTCAGAGGCTTGTTTTCCTTTCAACCATGTTGTTATACTTGTGGCAGAACTGGAGGAATGCCAGACTTTTGTATCTGGTGCATCTTTTTTTAAAAAAAACAACAACAACAAACAAAACGTTGTTGTTTTTTAATCTAAAGAAATGCTTTGGTCAGGGTAAGAGCAGCTGGGGAGGGGGTCATATATTCATTAAACTACAGCTATGCTGAAGATTAAGAAAACGAAGAAAAGAGATAAAGGGCCTAGGTTAAAAAGCTGCAAAGCTTTCCCTGATTAGGAAAAGGATGTAAGGAATTGCCCTCACACTGACTGGGCTTAAGGAACAGATGCTTTGGTTGCCCGAAAAGTGACAACTGGGGAGGTCTCTGGGACCCCCTGTGACAAGATTGTGTCTGAGGATGCCAGTAGGGACTCTGGACTCAGAGTGGATAGAAGGCTGAGGCAGCCCTTAATGTCCTTTTGGTGGACACCAGGGATTTGGATGAGATTTTAAAATAATCTACCAGGAAAAAGTTTGCCCAACAGGGAGGGGAGGAGCAGAGTGAAAGCCTAGTATCTCTACACCTGCTTGGCACAGGGTGGGGCAGGGCCAGTCCTACCATTAGGCAGCCTAATGTGATTGCATTGAGGTAGCAGATTTTAGTTGCAGTGAAAGGACAAAAATAGCTATTCAATTAGCCATTCTTATATTTTAACTGCTAGGAGGTGGAGAGCTGCTTATAACATGGCTGACTTGGGATATTACATATTTTAATTTCGGTGGGTGAGGGGACCATTTGCTTTTCTGCCTTGGTCAGCAAAATGTCTTGGGCCAGTCCTAAACTGGAAGTAAAAGAAACAGATAAACTTTTCCAATGTTTCCAATTTTACACACCACATCAATCTTTTGCTGTCCTGGCTGCCATAGGTGCCAGTTGCCCCTTTAAATACATCTTGCCTCTCTCGAAGGCCGATGCTCAGGACAACAAAAGATTGATGTGGTGTGTAAAAATGTAACCGTTAAGGATATCAGCTCTACATAAAAATAAGAGAGAAATGAGATTTAGAGAGAAATGAAACCGCAGCCTCCAAAATAAGAGATCTGCTTAGCTGGGACCTCTTGTACAGGGTCACTTTAATCTTATTCGGGAAAGGCACAAATAAGTTTGGCTTCTACTTCCAGTAGCCCTCATCTCATCACTTCAGGGCTTTTTATAGAGGACTCATAGGTGAACAGAGGCCTACGTCTACCTCAGCATTTCCCAGACTGATGCCCTATAGATATTTCTATCTAGATGCCAGCTGCAACACCACATCTGGAAGGCGCTCGACTGCAGGAACCTGGCCTACCAGGTGCGGTCTCTTTCTTGCTAAGAGGACCCTACCACCGTCCCTTTGCTGGGGAAGGGGGTTTCACCTCATTCCCTCAGAAACCTTCTCTTCTTGCTCTCTTGACGATTCTCACTTGTTTCCAAAATGCCACGCAAGGAGCAGAACGGGAGCTGCATTTTGCCGCTCATTAAAGCGCCTCTTTCCATATGACAGGCTGAGACGCCGAGTTTTTTAAAATCCCTCTAAGAGTCCTTCTGCTGTCTCAGTGGATTCAGAGCTGCGTCTCTCTGATTAGCCCTCGGGGATCGCGTGTGTCTAAAAAAAGTCGCTGCACGTAACCAAGAATCGAGCGCCAGTCCCCACAATGGGAACTTCGGGGACACGTAGTTTTAATATGCAACGGGCATATTTTCTGGCAGTGCCTGGCTTTGAAAAATGTAGCTCCACAAATGGGTCACAACACCTATTATTGGGTGGCCCGATGGGAACTCTGGGTCGTGTTTTAGTGAGGGACGGGGACGGGCAAGAGCAGAGAGTTTAATTTAATCCTGCAGCTGTTCTTTGGGATAAGGGGATCGGGAGGTGTGTGGGTTTTTTCCCCTGGTTTAGCGAATTCAGCTGGAGGAAAAAGGGGTTCTTCTCTCAGACCTCATACCTTCTGTAGGGAAAGCCCTTCGGACACTGTTGAGTTGCCATAGAAGCTGCCACCCACAGCAGCAGGAGCAGAGGAGGATTCTCCCTAAAAAAGAAAGAAAGGAAAAAAAGAAATTCTTCTTTCTTCCCCCTCTGTCAGTGTTTGAATGCCTGAACTTTAATTGAAATTGTTAAACGACCCGTCATAGCTTTGGCCTTTTCTCCCTGATGATCAATCACTTTCTCGGCTGGGCGCACTTATTAACAATGGGCCAGTTGGCTGGGCTGGGGCTGAGCACAGTAGCCCCAGAGGAGGAGGAAAGAAAATAGGGCTCAGCCTTAGATTCCTGGGGGTGGGGAAGAAGAGGAGGCAGCAGTCGGTGGCTATTGTCCCTTAAAAAAAGGACAATGTCTAGCAAGCCTTCTCTGAGGGGGAAGGGGAGAGCTCAGTACAGCCGGCACATAAGAGCAGAGGTCTTTCTGAAACTTGCCAAAGATTTCACTTGTACTGGGAGAACACCCTTGCCTTGTTCCCCCAAATGGCTGGCAAGCCTGGCACACACCAAGGGCAATAACCTTTAAAGGAAGAAATAGTAAAATGGAACTCCTCTAAAGCACAGCTTCAAGGCCCAAGATGCCCCTCCTGTTAGACACGTTGCGGGAGCTGCCTAAGCCAGCTGAGTTTGGGTGTCAGGAAAGAACAGCAAGTTTTTAGTTCGCTGTCAGTTAAATAGACTGGCGTGGATACCTCAGTAGTTTAGGTATCTCACTGTGAAGTTAGAGGTTGGCAGTTCTATTCCCCACGGTGCCTGTTGGGAGAAGAGCCAGCCTGTGAGTCCTTGGGCAAGCGGCATAGTCCCAGACTGGCCCAAGGAGAAAGGAATGGCAAACCTGTACCTAGAAAACCCTGGAAAGGGTTGCCATAAGTCAGAATTGACTTGAGGGTAAATAGTTATTCCTACTATTCTTTAAATCAGTGGTCCCCAACCGTTTTTGGACCGCGGACTGGCTGTAGGTCCCCAACCGTTTTTGGGCCGCGGACTGGCTGGGGGGAGTGAGCTCCACGACGTGGGGGGCGCTTTGCACAAACACGCATGTGTGCAAGCACAACACACATCCACCCGTGAGCATGATATGCCCACCATGGGTGTGACACGCCTACAGCACATGCCTGGGGGTGTGTGTGGAGATCCGTATCCGCAGCTGAGTTCCAGCAGACTGGCACCAGGCTGTGGACCAGGGGTTGACGAACCCTGCTTTAAATAACCACTGCCAGTGATGAGGAGTAAACTTGCTTGCAGGTTCAAAAAAACGGGGGAGGAGGAGGGACCTCCCAGTGGCCATCTTGTCTATAATGTCAGGTCACGCAGTTCCTCCACCATCACCCCTTGACAGATAATGTGTTTTGCAAAAATGGCAGTGTTACTTGAATAAGTAATTTGTTCCAAACTTTCACTCACTCATTCACTCACTCTTTTTCTTTCTATCTATCTGTCCCGGGTGAATCAGCAGGTTCAAAATCACCCACCAATTTCTCTCCCTGTCCCTCTCTCTCTTTCCCTCTTGTTTTTAATTTGTTTTGTTGGCAGCTTAGCTTAAACTTCGTGTGATCTTACTTTCTGATTTGAAGGCCAGATCTGTCATTTATCTTAGAAGACATTGATGTATTGAGTAAACTTTTTTATTTGTACTTAACACGACTTTTTGGTCTGAACCAAAAAGTGCGTACCTACAATTATACCCTAGACTTTTGGAGCGAGGCACGTTTCTGTTCAGGGCATAGGCTACCCATGTTTTTTTAACTTACTCCTGCA